ACGTCGTCCTTAGGCGGCGTTTTAGAGGTCGTCCAAAAAGTCGTCCTTGAGGTCGTCTAACCATAGTACAGCTTCGCTGGTGTTCCATCTTCACCAGAGTAGAAAAGCTGAATGTTTTTTTTTGGAAGGGTCTCTACACCATTTCAATATTTACAAGTGCTTAGTACAGCGTACGATCTCAGCCTATCTGGGCATGTTCGTCACTTCGGAAAGCGAGCAAATCACGCGCCATAGGCACGAACAATGAAAATGGAACCGGCCAACTGGAAGCCATAGCAGTGTGGGCGATTGCTGAGTGCTTGCTGACGACGAACTTCCACAGTTCTTTTGCAACGTGCATTCTGTACCATCAAGATTGCCGGTTTTGGCAGCATATTAATGTGAGCTTGTTCCGAGTATGCGCTCTTAAAATCGCCTTAAATATAGCGCAGTGAATATTCTCAGTTAACAAAATGATAAAATCTTCGCCCGAATATTAGGCAACTACGCGTAGTTTCTTCTCTTAACGTTCCCGTTTGTTTCACCCAATATGGCAAAGAAATGCGTTCATTTTATGTTCTAGAAAATTGTAAGACCCTAACTGACAATTTCTCTAACTTTGCATAAAAAATAGCTTCGTAAAGCGCTCGCCTTTTAAGTCCTAACTACCCCCGGCAGTACCTTCTGAACGCTTATGCTATATTTAGATTTTTGTAATCTTTCATTGCTTTCTCGCATATTTACTTTTAGAGCGCAGCTTTTAGGCGCCCGTTTCCGGCTTGAGCGGCGTCGCCGTCTCCGTCGGCGTAACCGCGCGGCGCATTACGGGTAAATTTTTCCGAAGGGATCCGAGGTTTTCCCGAAGAAACCCGAGGTCGTCCCGAAGGAACCCGAGGTCTTTCGGGAGGACCTCGGGAGGACCTCGGGCTTTTCGGTAGGACCTCGGGAGGACCTCGGGTTCCTTCGGGAGGACCTCGGGACGACCTTGGGTTCCTTCGGGAGGACCTCGGGAGGACCTCGGGTTCCTTCGGAAGTTGCATGCAACAGGTTGCATGCAACCTGTTGCGTGCAGCTGGCATGCAATCTGGGTTGCACGGAACCTCTTGCATGCAATTGTCTCGCAACGAGCTGTATGCAACCTGTTGCATGCAATCCAGGTTGCATGCAACCTGGTGACGTCATCGTCATCTGCATCGTCATCATTACTGATAACGTCATCAGTGACATCACTGATGACGTCATCGTCATCCGCATCGTCATCGTCATCATCACTGATGACGTCATTGGCATCCGCATCGTCATCGTCATCATCACTGATGACGTCATTGGATCGTCATCGTCAAGGTCCCGTGACCCCCGAGAACACGTGACCCCCGAGGCCACATGACCCCCCCTTCAGTACCCTTCCCTCCTCCTCCTCAAGAGCTGCGCTCTAATTCGGCGTTACAGGGAGTTGTAAACGGCTTTCATTTTTTGTTTCATTCCTTAAAACTACTTTTTTTTTTCGCTGTCACTTTAGCTGACGGTGCCAAGCTTGGTGCCTTTTGAACGCGTGTACCTTCTAAACACACGCCATTTTGAATATTTTTTATGACCTCGTGCTTTCATGCACCCTTCTTCGTGTGGAACAGTTGGCTTCGCATGCAACGTACCTAAAATCTCTACAAAAAAAAAAAAAGAACAACAGAGTGTATGTAAATATTTTTTTCCGCTGCTCGCTAATTTTTTTGACATTGCAGCTTTGGTTCCGTACTTAAAGCCTTGAAGGTTTTGACGAACCTGCATGTGGTGTGCCTTGGATACCCAGAATGGTCAAAAATAAATAAATAAATAAATAAATAATAATAATATTAATAATAATAATTATTATTATATTATTATTATTATTATTGCACCTAGTCCTCCTTCACACAAAAAAGTAGAGGAAACGTGATTTGCTAGTCAGCGCCATGTTTGTCTTCCTATGTGTCCTCCCCTTTTTTCCTTGTATAACACAAGCTGTTGCTACTAATATCGACTCTCATTAACTCGGCCAAGCTTCCATCGTAACAATACATGCATGACCTCAGGAGTGAGTGTGATGTGGTCTTAGTGGCCAGGGTGGCACTTGGCCGGCCGCGGAGCGGCCGTCGGGAGGCCCAGTAACTAGACTTAGGTCTGTCTTCCCGCACAATAGACGCTAAGTTTCTTATTTAGAGCGATTGGAGGTTAATGATTACAGGATTTTGTACTCACGGCGAGCCAAAATACTTCCGGGATCCTCGTGTTATTTTTGCAAGAGATCTGGCCAAGACCATCCGGTTTTCTTCTTTGTTTTTTATGAAATTCGATATGGTCATTTTTTTCGGGTTGGTGATTTCTATCTCCCGAATAAAGTGAGGTCCACACTGAAGTAAAACACAAGAGAAAAACTGACCTCTTGCACAAAGTTGGGCCCGTTGCCGAAACTAAATAACAAAATAACGTTACTCGTTAGCTCGTCAAAAATCTAACCTGTAAATGAGATTCGTTACCGTCACGCAGGTGTAGCGAAACACCAGTACCGTCCCAGGTAGTTCAGTTCTTTGGGCCACAAGCTGGCCTTTGAGAAGTTTTGGGTTTAAGAATTTATAAGAAGCCTAGATAGAGCGAAACATGACCTTCTTTGGACAGAGTCTGGGTGGCCAAAGAAAATTACTCTTACACTTACTAACGCCTTGGAGCAAAACCACATGAGACCCAAGTTAGGCCCCTAGGATTGCTAAGGTTGTGTCAAGTTAGGCGCATCTTTCTTGTGCGACCTGGGTTTGAATTCCAAATTTAACGAACGCTTCTTTTGCTTTCGATTGGAGTTCACTATTATTATGTGGCAGCGTTAACAAATGGGTATGAACATTGACAACGTCTGAACTGTTAGACTAATTTTAAATCTATTTTCATCATTTGTTTAACAAATAAGTAAAACACAGATACTAGGAACTGTGTTATTAGGCATATAAAGAAATGTGTCTAATTTTTGTTAGAGGGAACTGAGTAGGAGATATTCCCAGAAATAGGCCGTGTTTCCAGCGAGGTCTCGGGTGGCATGGGGCTTCTTGCGCGCTTTCGATCTCTCTTTTGAGACCGCGTGAGACCGGGTGATGGAAAGAAAGTGCGGTGACCAGACCGGCTGGTGCTTTCCGAGGGCGCCCACTCCATACGGCAGCGCAGAGCCGTATATACCTTTTAAAACGTTCAAGAATAGTTCTGAAATCAAATACTCGAATACCGCCTTACTTGCAAATTGTGATTGTAGGCTACAAGTTAAGCTCATTGCCTCCGCTAGGCGAATAATCGTGGCAAGTGGTTGGTCATAAGAGCTGTCAGCCAACGCGCCCAAGGTCATTAAAACAATTTCGGCCAATGACGTGCCATTTTTTTCGCCCTATTCTTACCAATTGCTGACCGAACTCTCTACATATATGACTCTGCCAGAGCGTTCCCTCGCACTCTTCCTCTAGCCATCGCAGTGCAGAGAGGTGCCGGCGTCATGTGGTACGCGAACGGGGGTTACATCGTTTGGTTGATAATGATGGCGTCACTGGTGTGTGTGGGGTGCGGCATGACGGCGGTGGAAATCTGGTTCTACAAAGCGCGTGTGCGTTCGACGGTGCGAGGATTGCAACGGAAGGGACGAGATTCGCTTGGGACGAAATAAATGTGCGTGGAAAGTATTCCCAGGTTTTAGTTATTACAAGATCGTCCATCTAACCGTTGTGGATCCGCTAACCCTAGCCGATGAAGCATCATCCAGCAGAGCTTGCAGCTGCTTTACCGGGTATTGTGGACACTTCAAGAAATTTTCAGGTTTTGTCAAAGTGTGTTGAATGATTTGCGTTGTAAAATAAAGAGAGAGCTGACTGTAACACACTATGATTTGTGCCACTGAGTGATACGTCTTATATCCTGTGGGTGAGTGCGTGGGTGACGCTTGCACAATATTACGCTCTGGGAACAATGCGGTTTATTGTCGATTTCATATTTGCACGCTCATCTGTACGCATGACCATTATCGCAGCACATTCACTTTCGAAAAGGCGATGGGTTGACAATTATTTTCAAACATTAGCCTTCGTTCTAATTTGCAAAAATCGATGCGCATGCTGCTGACTGTTTTTTTTCAACCCGCCGTTGTGCAGAAAAAAAGATCTAGTTCGCCAGAGCCGTCATTTCATCATGTTGAGAGTGTAAACTTCGGTAAATCGTCCACCACACGCTGTAGAATTTTTTTTTTTTTTATCTTACACCAACGTCAATAAGTTATCCTTCAGTGACCGGTCTGAGAATGTCAGAGCACTCTGAGCCCAGCAGTTGAGATCGGCTGAAAGAGATCTCAGTGGCCCTGGCAAGGAGAAAGAACTGCTCTATTGAACATGCATGGTGAGAGACAGGCGACCACCCGAAATCTCCGACAAATAAGTCACAGTATATATTCAATATAGATCCAAAACGCTTGTACCCCACATTATTTACACTATAAATATTTTCATCTAGAACATGCTACTTGCAATTGAAATACAAACTTAAAGTAGCGCGTTCAATTCAAACAAATCTTTTGGTCATGTGGTGAGTCTTGTAAGCCCTGTTACTAATCGAATAACTTTTTTATTTCTCAACTGTTATTGCTTGTCACTGGAAACCCACAACTCGTGCTTCATGATATTATCAGTAAATACTGATCTCGGCATAACTGTGACTCTAACTCCATTGTGTTCGTTATTTCTTGCACATATGCACCTGGAAGAACGTGCCGACGACGTTTTCCAGCAGTTACCATGCGCCATTCCTGCTATTGTAATTCTCGTCGTCTTTGAGGTGCTTTTTATTACGTCACACAACTCAAAATATAAAAAAAGTAGTTTGCTATTCTTCAGCTGGCATGTCAAGGTACGTCTAATCGCTGATCTAGAAAGGGTAATTATCTGTAAATAAAATAAACGACTATTTACAATGCTCCGGTCCCTGGGAAGTCAAATACATTAAAAGAACTCCACAACCACCGACTATAGATCCGTGTTTTCTTCATCGTACTCATCATTGAGTACCAATTCACTGGATGGAGTGCGATAGCCGTATCGATTGTTTTCTGCAAAGATATGCTCCTTGTCGTGGAGACGTTTCCAGAAGGCGTCAAAATCGTGCGGCTTTCCTTGGCCTCCAAACTCTTCAGGGAGCGCTCTGGGATCTATCTGCTCGTGCAGAGTTTCGAAGTTGTATCCGTGGCAGTGGATCTGCACCGTGACAAATCAGGCATCATTTCAGGGGCAAGGAAAGAACTTTAAGGTTCTTTCAGAGTTGATAATAGCAAGTTTTAAAAGATCGTTCCGACACCTCCGATAACGATACCCGATGGCGATACGATGCATGCGCAAAGGCGCCAGCTGAGTATCGGGTACGCTTATCGTTGTTATCGGAAGGGTCTACTTAAGCTCTCTAATGAGTCTTTCCGACATCTAGATTAGTGAATCACAACAGATTACACTCGATTTTACGTGTTTTCCTTATGCCCGTCCTTTTCACGAAAACATGGGAACTGCCGAGTGTTGTGAGTACGGGAGAGGGAGAGAGAGATAAGGGTTTAATAAGGAATACGGGGCTTGCACTAAGATCAACTGGAAAAATCGGCGCCTGCACGTAACAAGCTTCTACTGAAACCGAAAGTGTATATTTGTAATGCATTTTACAGTGGGAAATTGTAAAGGCGCAGATTCCGTCCTGTAAATAATTAGACAATCTTGACATTTTCAGCGGCGAACCCAAAGGTGCAATAGAAGGTTGTGCTTGTGGCGCCATCTCCTGACAGGCGCACAAAGCAGGCGACGGCACCAGATTGAAAGCAGACAACGCGGTTGTATGCTTGCTTCGTCTATTGAAAGATGGAGCTAGAAACACAATCCTCGAGTAAAAAGCCTAGACTTACGCGGAAGCGTGAGTTGTCGAGTGACAAGGAGGATACGGGGAGAAGATGCTGAGGAAACCAACACACCCTCGTCAACAAAGCTGTAGTTTTGAATTTTTGGCGCTACCTAAAAAGGCAAACACTGGGCACAAAATAGACACAACTGCTGCGTTAGCATTTGACCGATACTGGTGTTCAATCATTGAGAACTCGAGTGTCAACTAAACGCTGAGTGTTGTTGGCCTTCTTTCGGCGGCGCCGAAAACAATTCAGCACTATGCCTTTGTCATCTGCTTAAAAGCTGGACACGAGACACTTTCGTCGTGTCCTCGCACTTTTTGTTGGAAACGCGGCCCGTAAAGCACGCAACCTAGATCGAGCAGTAGGAAACGATCTAAATTTTAGACTTCGGCTTAGCTCGGTCGTCTGCATTGGTGTCCGCCGCTTAACATGTCAAGAGCGTTGGCCTAATGTTTCACAGAAAGGGATCTACTCGTTGGAATTTTACGAGATAACATAAACTACTAGAAGACACTTTTTGTGGAAGGTCGAGCTGGTTAGGTGCAGGGACCAATATTCTGTTTATTTCTGAAACGAGACACTGCATTCAAAACTATATATCCGACTTGCTATCCCTTGCCTCATCCCTTCCCCTAAACACGGACGTGCTCAATTATTTGAGCGAACCATGGGGGCCGGCCGGGGTCACCACCACCTAGAGCAATCAAAGCCTCCATAGAATTTCGATATCACCACCGTGAGATCGAGCGCAGACGCACATTGGACACGAGTGCTGCGTCAGCATTCGGCTTGGCTTCGTGTCCAATGAACGTAAAGAAGGGCGCTCGGCGTCGGCTCGGGTTTAATGGCCGAGTTCGCGCCATCCGAGTCGAATGACGTCCCGTGGAGCTAGAAAAGGTTGTCCACAGGCTTTGATATTTTAGGCGGAGCTGTCCGGGCACGCTAGATGATCTCTAATTTTGATGAAGCAACGCAAAGTTTCGGACGGGCAGGTCATCTCTTCGCTCACCCTGCTCGTCATTTTTTTCTTGATGAAAGGTCGGAGAAGAGCATACAACAGGTCAAAGACGTATGATTCCCTCACGATGTGCTGGGCTTTCAGACGAATTGGCAGGCAATTCTGCGAGTAATAAAAGACACGCGTGAACAAAACCACTCCCTATACGCTCGAATATTCTGCTGTTTTATGCCACAGCGAAAAGGGCAAACGTCTGTCTTCTATATTCTGTCTACAGTTTGTGCATACGATGGTTAAATGGCAAACTACACTCCCTGAAGTGTGCAGCTTCCAAGGAGGATGACTTTTTTATACCTCGGTGTCAGTCTCGAGACTTATACATTCGCACTCTGCTGCGCACTTCACGTAGCTTCACAATATGTCATATAAAGATTATATGAAATGCACAGGACTACTTTTGTGATGCTCTAGACGTAAAATTGTTTTAAAAATGAGTTCATTTAATGGAGTGTTCTTAAAGGATCCTAATTTCTCAGAAGTAACGCAACTTCGAACGGAACTTGAACGTTTTTAAACGATGTAAAATGTTTTATTTATTAGTGTTTTTAACAGTAATTATTGCTACAATCAGTCGTATAGTGGCACATTTTACTTGTAGTAACTCAACATTTGTTCTGGTAATGAGGCAGTAACATCAAATTAAAAAAAAAGTAAACGAGCAACTGCATTTGGTATATGTTCTAATACACCGATGCAATGTGACTCGTGTCACTACTCCGACCAACGTTTTGGTTTCGTCAACGTTCAGAAGTGTGTAATGGCCGGAAAAACCGGGAAAGGCGACGGTATCATTGAATCCCCATGAGCTAACTAAATACGAAAGACAACGATTAATGTAACGTACATACTTATTACCACATTCGAAGTGAGTATACAACTCCGTTACTATTGGAGCGAGTAAGGAGTGACGGCACTTATTCACGTATTTGCAGGAGGCATGCGTGCTTGGTGCAGCGAGTGCTGAAACTAGGATCTAAATGATTAGTGGAGAAGGTTTGTTTCGTTCCCACCGCCAGGAAATTTCTACATGTTGACATCATGAGGGATCATTTGTACCTGCAAATAGTCAAGGCCTCGCCTCATCAAGCCAACGCCGCAGGAAAGCATCTTGGATGCAGTGAAGCCCTCGAAGTCTGCCATGAGCGTGACGCCCGCCGTTTGGGACGACGGATCGGATGCTACGTGGTCCAGGCACATCATTCCAGTTTGTTGGAAATCACAGTACGGCACAACTTCGGGCATCCAGGCTCCTGTGAAAAGATAATCTCTAGTACAGTCTCACATTAAGTCTTAAAGCAGCCAACGGTACGGTCCGTTGAACATAATCAAGCAGCGCCAAAAGTGTATCGCCATGGCGCTTGATGCCTTTGTGCGTTTGATATGAACAAATCAACCGGTCACCCAGATTGACAGCGGTGTCATCCCGGCTTTTTGTTATGTGGGTGGTCGTTACAGCCGGTGACAAAAAACACACAAAGATGGCGAACGCTGTGACGATGCACGTTTGACACTGCTCGATTAACTCTAGCAGATTGTAGCATTGAGAGCGGTCAACCTTAGTAGGAAGTTTTCGTAGATCGCTTCTTCGGTTCCGCAACGCTCCCCGCAACCCACTAGGATATCCGGAACTCTGCAATCCAGGCCAGCGGCGCGCATACGGATTAGCGACGTCTTCGTTGCGGAAAGCGTAGCGGTGTAGGGAAACGATCTACGAAAACTCCCTAACACGAAAGAGAGAATATACCGGCAACAGACGCTTTCACTACCCCTAAAACAGATCAAGATACTCAACTCAAAAGAGTCATGCGCATTGCCGCGAAAAGCGAATCACGGTCAGTGCTCAAGGTGTACGACACCAGCTTGCGTATATGAACAAACAAACAACTACGGAGGAACTGGTCTGCGAGCCGGAAGGAAGAATTAAGATACCGCACTTGTTCTCCCATGAGACGACCGGTTCATGTAATGGTATCTTCCGATATGAGTGACGGGCTGGTATTGTCTATAGATCATGCTCACTTATTTCGATGTCTTTACGTCCTGTACAATAGACATTTCCGGAAAAATGCGGCGCTCCCACCGTGTGCTTAACACATTGTGACGTTCCGATGTACAGCACGCGAGGTCATCAAGAAAGCGAAGACGCAGTTGATGTTGGTTTAGCATTTTTTTGTTTGTTCGTTTCAGAACGCAGGGAAGGCAGATGAAAAGCAAAGTAACCTGTGCGATGACCTACTTTTGTGTTCGCTTTACCTTTTGTGCGTTTTGAGCTCCTTCGCGTTTTCGTAGATCGTGCTTTTAGGTCAAGCTATTTGTAGCGGGAGCTCGCGCTGTCACTTCGATGTAAGCTCTGAATAGCGCGCCCGTAGCGGTAAAATGTCTTTGAAAACGATCCACTAAAACTCCCTTATAGTAAGAGCGAACGAATCGTGCCGCTGCCAGAATATACGGAGAGTGCGAGTCGGAACAAGCGTACATCGGAACGGCCCAACAATTCCCCATGCTGCGAGATCTCCTTGGGGTGTCCTGAAGTGTCTATTACGTATTCGCTTCGCAAATTTAGCCTTCTGCCTTCTGTTTACAAAAATGAATGGCATCAGAATAAGTAGGCATGGTCGTCCTCAGCACAAATAAAGTTCCGCTCGACAGCATCATTGCTGTTTGAAATTCTTTATGTAGTGCATCTAAATTTTGTCCCGGTCAGCATGAAAAGACTTTTTTCAACTTAGGAGATACTGCAATATCTTTACGCTGATCACATATAGGCGCGTTCACACTCTTGCAACCGAGTACGACCGAGAAAGACTTCTTGAGACCGGATGCGCTGAGCGGAGCTGGTCCTAAGAGATCGCAAGAGGATTAAAAACCGGTTTGGTCTCTCTCGGTCGTACTCGGTTGCAAGAGTGTGAACGGGCTTTATCTGTTTATATAATACTTCAAACGTAATGTGGCGTTACTGAGAGCAAATGCCAAAACCTGGATATTATATGCACCAAAGTGTAGCATTTTATGTGTTGTAATCACGACTCTATCCTTTGAAAGTTGGAAAGAGAGAACAAATCATGCTATACTAACCCCATGGAGTCATCACCCAGCTCAAGGAGCTGGGCGATGGGTGATGGCCCTGGCTTTAGTATAGCCTGATTGGTGACTAATGCGTAGGAGGGCAGCGATGCGACGGGTCTCAGGTCTGGGACAGATAATGTGATAATGTGGGAACGCGGCACCGTCATATTGGCCCCTACGTAACTTTTGCACTCCAATAGAAGATTTATAAAAGTTTTCTTTGTGTGTGTGTGTGTGTGTGTGTGTGTGTGTGTGTGTGTGTGCGTGTGCGTGTGCATGTGCGTGTGCGCGTGTGTGTGTGTGTGTGTGTTGTGTGTGTGTGTGTGTGTGTGTGGTTCGTCACGTTTCTTTTTCTCGGGAGACAATGAAGAGTTCCCCACACATAAAGAGGTTCCTGCTTTGGCAATATCTGACAAAAGCTTTGGAGTAATGGCATCAATATTCTCTTCGTAGGTTAGTTCGTGTTATCGCCACAATTACATTTCTGAATGTCTTCCTAAAGAGAGATAATTTTATCGTGTGTTTACGTTGTCGGATGTTCTTTTGTTCACCCTAAACCTACCAAAAAAGAGCAGTAGAATTTTTCACTTTCTGGATTATGGAACCGGAAGTCTAACTGGAGGTGTTTCTGGAAACCTGAGATCCAGGTAGAATCCAGTTAGATTTCAGGTTTCATATTTCAGAGAGCGAAAAGTTATGTTGGCCTTTTTGGTCGTGAAGTGTTTCACATATGTTTTAACTTTGCGGGATTTGTTTTAATTATGCGTTTTTAGGACATTCCATCCGAGCGCCACCAACTTTCACACTGCTATAACTGGTGAAAAGTTACGCAGTACAAAAATTTGCTTTGTCCTGGTGTGTACTACGAGAACGCGAATTTGATCTTCATGAATATTCTCCTGAATAGGTTGTCAGACCCAGAATCTGTAGTACAAGTTGCAGTCTATAAAACCTGTTTTATGGTACTGGAATCAGGTCCCCAAGGTCATTGATAAAAACCAAATTTGGCTATTACCGGCATAAAATTTATGATAGGTATATCTAACATAAAAGAAAAACCCTAGGAAGCATTGTACAAAATAGTGTGCACTGAGACCCTGATTTATGTAGACTTAAATTACTAAACAGATTGATATCCAAAATATAATAAAAACAAAACAAAAACAAAAATAATTAGAAACAAAACAAAGCCTTTACCTGCGCCTTCTTTGCCGGAATGGCTTTACCCCCCTTCTCTACGGACTTCCAAAAATACAAAAACCTGATGTTCCCCTCCGACCCCATCGCGGACTTCACCACCTTGCCGCTCAAAGCACTGTCGAACTATCTATGTCACACACTCTCTTCTTTTTCTGGGGAAACCCCGACATATGTGCGCAACGCCAGCGACTTCGTGGAGCAGATTTAGCATTTAAAGATAAACGCCGAGGAGATTCTGGTATCTTTTGACGTTTTATCGCTGTTTACAAGCGTTCCGGTCTCCTTAGCAGTCATGACTGTCAGAAACACCCTGGAGAAAGACAGTGATTTAAGTAACAGAATCAAGCTCAACGTGGTCGAACTCTGCCACCTCCTCGAATTCTGCCTGAGTAACACCTATTCTAGCTTCAAAGGGGAGTATTTTGAGCACACAAGTGGAATCGCAATGAGGACCTCCATCTCTGTTGCCACAGCAATCCTGTGCATGGAAGCTATAGAACAAAAACCTCTGCTCTAATGGATAGCGCAGTAGGCGTATGACGTCAGGATTTCGCAGAGAAATCAATAGATAGCATAGCGGAAACGATATACCTTGTCCCCTCGCAATAAGGCATCACGTGACATATCTAACTCCACCACCCGCAGCGTGAGACATCTCTCCCATCATCTGAACGTCGCGAGCTGTTGGTCGTCATGCGAAATGCCCATGACTAGTAGCGGAAATAGGGTATAAAAGCGCAAACAGACAGGGACGATAAGAAATAACACAAACGACAGGGACAACGCGCAAGCAGAAGTTGCATAGACATGGTATTCACAAGATTCTTATATCACTTGGACATCATAACCTTCGTAAGCTACTTCAGTTACCACAAGGGCTCCTCGCAATTCGAAAGCACGACGATTATTACTAAATTCACTACACGCACCCTGGCAAAGCGTGCTCGAATCCATGGAAATTTCTCATTGAAGGACAATATTTCACACAGTTTACTGCTGAATAAATTCAACCTTGTGTTGATTAGTCTGATAAACCGGAAGAGCACAGAAGTGTGTCTTGTAAGAAACGCAGCCCTCCCCCCCCCCCCCCCCCCCCCCTTTTACCGAAAAATCGAGTATACCATTTCGATAACTGGATTATGGAACTGGAAATTTAACTGGATTTCTTGTTGGAAACTTGAAATCCAGATTGGAGACAAAGGATTAATTTTTTTAAATTCTTAAATCCCCAGTTATAGTCCAGTTATATTTCCAGTTCCATAATCCAGTTCGCTAAAAGTGATACTGGATTGTTCGGTAGGGCCAACCACTTACGCATAGTTACGGACGCGTCCACCGCATCCGTAACCATAGGTAAGAGATCATTACGCAGGTATGATGCCCGTAGCCACATTCAGTGGTCCCCTGGTTTATCAGAAATGACCAAGACAAGTTTAATTTATCTCCTACTTCCTCGCGCGTCGACAGTAGCGCTGGCATGATGGCCCAATTATAACAGGCGGCATTTTTACAAGATTGTCGTTACTATCCGTGCAGAGGAGCTTTAGTCAGCCGAAACTCCGAACTTCCTCGGATTTATTGCTGTGGCTCATGTGATTACTTAAATATGAAGACATACGAAATATCCTAGGGCGCATTAAAACAACAAATTTTACAGCTTTGCGAGATTTTAGATGCTATTGAAATGACAAATATATTGCAAAAGCGATTAATAACACGATGATGCAGCGGTGAACACTATTGCCCGATATGTTAATGGTCGTGAAGCAATAGCAACGGAAACCAGCAGGCAAACACATAGCATCTGTGGTGTACCACGGTACATACATTTTTATATATATTTGCGCGAATATTACTTAGAATGCATTCCTGACGTTTATATCTATGAAACCTATGAAAGCAGGGACTCAAACCGTAACCGTAACCACAACCGAAAACCTTTTCAGTCAGAAAACTTTCTTCAGTAACCGTAACCGGAACGAAACCGTTATCTGAAACTTATAAAAACCGTAACCGTAACGTAACCGTAAATTATTTACCGGAACCGCCATTAACCGGGAGCGCGACAGAACAGCACACGACCAAGCAGCACGCGACAAAACAGCACGGTTAAAACAGCACGCGTCAAAACAGCACAACGCCAAAACAGCACTGCGACAAAGCAGCACGCGTCAAAATAGCACGCGACAAAACAGCACAGCGTCAAAACGGCACAGCGACAGAAGAGCACGTGCCAAAACAGCACAGCGACAAGACAGCACGCATGTAGCAACTTCGAGCGCACTCATCACCTCTGCGCGGATAACTTCGAACCTCCTTGATCTATTCCTTTATTGTCGTTAGATTATAAATAAATTTATTTACCAAGCACGAGGCTACAAGAGTAAATTCCAATGATGAGTACTAGCCACAGTCCCCATAATAAAATAAATGCTGAAGCTAGCAAAACTGAAATCCATAACAAAACAAAATATACAGATGGCAGCAATTGGTTCGCGACCACCCACTGGATCTCCACAGTTCAAAGGCCCGAAAGTAAGTAGTGAACCACAATTTCTAGTTCAACAGGAGTTACCGATCAGCATCCAGCGTAAAGCATTCCAATAAGGTGACAGACGGAAAATTTTAAACAATTAAAGGCAATTGTTCGAACCTCCTTTTACAGCGAACCTGTTGTTGGTACGTTTGTCGGAATTTTCCGTGTCGTTGATAGTCAACAGGAAGAAAGGTCAGTATTTTCTAGGGCGTTTGGAGGGGGGGGGGGGGGGGGGGGGGAAGGGGGGATGTGATTTATTACTGACCGTATGAGCACTTCCTTTAGCAGTTTTCAGCCTGTCTCCGAGATCGGTTCTAGTGTCAACAAAAGCTCCGGAGGCGCAGGGTTCTTCTGGACGAAATCTGGGGTTTTCACCTGATAGGGACTCGTGTGCTGAATTCTTTGTTCAAAAAAGAAAGTTTAATTTTGGACTGAACAATGAAAATCAAGGGCGTCCGTAAATGCTGCACATTTTTAACACCCCTAGCTTCCGTCTACTAGATGAGGGCATAAATACGATTGTTTTATTGCCGTTTCTGTAGTCGGCGCAAAATTACCACCTCTCGCAGTTGTGAAAATGAGGAAAAAACGCACTGAGTACCAAGCTTGCAAATTTCTGGATTCTGATATTGGCCTCTTCGACCGAAGTGGTAGTGAAGCTCATGTTCGTCCTGTGTACAGACACGAGCACGCGACGTAATGTCAAATCACGATTGGGCCCCAGTGCATCTTGCAGAACAGGTCACGTCGGCTGCCACAGATAGTAATAAATAAAAAAAGCAGCACCTGGTTTACTCAATATACATTTAAACAAACGCTTTTAAATATTGCATATTCGTCAGTATACTGGTTTTTGTAAATTAACTGAAAGGAACCCAGAAGTTTACGAGTCTACAAATATTCACCGCAATAAACCGAAAACTTATGTTTTAAATAAAAACCGAAAAAAGTACGTCGAATTTTAAAATAATAAAAACTTAAAGCGCCAAGCTATAGCTATATTGTCAATGTCCTGTTTTGATGCTGCGTTGTTATGTCGCGGTGCCCTTTTTATGCCGTTTTCTTCTGTCGCTCTGCTGTTTTGACGCCGTGCTTTTTTGGCACGTGCTCTTCTGTCGCTCTGCCGTTTTGAGGCTGTGCTGTTTTGTCGCGTGCTATTTTGACGCGTGCTGTTTTAACGCGTGCTGTTTTGACCGTGCTGTTTTGTCGCGTGCTGTTTTGTCGTGTGCTGTTCTGTCATGGTGCCCTATTAACCGATATTAACCGTAGATAAAAATATCGTTTTTTTCCAAGAATTACCTAGAGGAGAGTTCTCGAAATGTCGTGGTCATTTGCACAGAGTTACCGTCAGCGAGCGGTGCATCTGGTAATACATTTTCGTTTAATTTAAATATAGATTAAGAATGCTTAGTTGACATCAATGGTTGAGCTCACAATGAAAAGTCTCTATATCTAAATGCGTTACTCTTTTACAATTGCTACATATGCTCAGTACCTGTCGCCTTTAGGTAACTAATAAGTTAGAATTCTGAGATGTCCATTCAACTTGGTTCTTTCAAAACCACAGATGTTCCTGACCTGCAACTAGGAATGTCGCGAACCGGTTGGGATTCGAGTTCGACCAGGTTCGACTTTTTCAAACTTTTATTGAAAAAGTTTTAGAAAGTTCGACTACGGTTCGACTGCTATGCGCATTCGCGAAGGGCTGGCTCAGTTGGCTTTGGATTGGAGGGTGATGACTATATGATCAAGTGAAATATTCTACTTTTAGTAAGGGCAGCACTACTTGGTTAGCAAGAATAAATAATGTTATTGAATTTGAAGTTATTAGAATTATGTTCCCTTGATTGTGATTTTTTATAAACTAAGACAATCTATTCCGTAAAAACATTTTCTCCAAACCTAGACATGCTTGCATCGGAATCTAGCAGCACTGCTCACAGAGTTGAACCTTGTAGAACCTGGTTAAAAATTCTATGGTTTGTCGATCCAGTCGAACCTTGAGGTTCGACGAAAAACTCCGGCTCGACGAACGTCCCTGACATTCATAGTTGCAACATATCTGTGGGAAAAGCTCCGCCTCCAATCCCGGGAGAAAAATGGCGCTACTATATAAATGCTCAATTTTCCTAGCGTCACAAAATCAGACAGCGAGGAACGTAAGCTCCTCTGACCATATGTATTTGCTTAGAAATAACACACGTGACGTAGGTGTACCAGCGCACAACAACCAAGACTAGGGAAAGGAACAAACAACACAGGACATACTTTTACAGATTTCTGTGTTGTTCGTTGCTCTGCTTAGTCTTCCTTGTTTTGTGCAATTGCATTTAAATTGTGCTTGGATTTCACGAAGTAGCACAACTCTCAATTTTATCACTTTATTCGGCTTAGCAGTTCATTAATAGAGGAGGGCTATACTTCTGCTCCTTCCTTGAGTGTGGGCGAAAACGTTCTGCATATCTTAGGTTGTAATAAACTATTGCGACGAGAAGGTGCAAATGGTTCTTCCAGCACCGAGTGGGACCTTTCTGGAGGTTGTTACAAACGCTGCCGAACAACAGACTAGCAATGTTCATTTTTATTTTTCTTATCTAGAATGGGGATGATCCCCGAGTGTCGAGCTTGTAGGCTTGGGTATCAAACTTTATAATACAAATAGATGTAGGGAACAAGTGTCGGAGCTAGAAATGTGCGCAACCTTTCACCAATTTGAACTACTGAGATGTTTTTGAGAACTTGTTATTGTGAATGTCCCGTTGTTTCATATCTGGGACTACTTTAAACACGGCTGTCTACCATTTCAATAAAACAAATGACTGGAGAAACTAAAAACAAAACAGGTTTTAAGAACGTGCAACCGGTAACCGAAACCGTAAACAACCGAAACGAAACCGACGTCGAGAGGAAGCTGTAACCGTAACCGTAACAGAAGCGTTATATTTTTCGGTTTCAGTCCCTGATAATAAATGCGTTAGGTTTTCTCTCTATGAAATAGTAATCGCTAAAAAAGAAGATAAAAAATAAAAATAAACAAGCAGCGTTTGCCACTTTATTTCGAAGCCAGAGCAAGCGGCGATGTGATTTGGAGCCGATTATATGCCGCAAATATTTATCATAGGCAGATGCTGGAATTAGAAAAGCACAAAACACGCGCTGAGCTCCAGACATTGTTATGGTTATGCGATTGTCGTCATTGCAGCGATTAGACACCAGCCACTACCCGAATAGTTATCGAGCTATTGATTATCACAAGCTCAAATCGAGTGCTCATGCAATGCTCGGGTTCAATCTACCAGTCGCATTTAAATATCGCTACTGGGTGATAAGGTCGACACTGCGACCTTAAAACTACGTCATCATGTTTTGGGAAGGAGAGATTGAAATAAAACGCTCGCTTTTTTCCTTGAAATTACACTTCAATAACGACGTATCTTGGTCAGCGGCGTTCCGTGCGAGTATACTGGGGTCCCATTAGTGACAATAAGCTCGTATAAAGTGGAACAAACGTTACGACCTATATCGTCTCTGCGCCCCTTTAAACAACTCGTTAGATGTAACAGAACATAGTAGAACAATAAAAAAAATGTAAGTGTGTAACTTCAGAGTGTTTTTTTATTTTATTTTTGATCGATGTCATCGGCACAAATTTCTTCTAATAAGGTTCAAGTTCAAGTTAAATTTAAAGTTCTGACAAACATATCAATACAATGAAACAGTTGTCGTCGCCAGTTATTAGTGGCTTTTAGTAGTGCGTATACGAGCGAATGCATGCACTGTGCATTTGCGTTAGCGTTGCGTGTTACACATTGCGCGTGCGCGGAGTGGAGCATGCAACACAAATGCATATACACAGCGCTTGCGTTTGCTCCTATACGCAATACTAAAACTCTCTACTGTAAGAGGTCGGACCAACTAAATATGACGAGCTCTGTCGCGACCTTGCGCACTCTCTACAGAAGGAGATGTATGGATTTATATATAAGTGCATGAGAGTTTTCAAACTAAATATGATTCATTAACTGATCGATTGATTAATTAGTGGACTGGTTGATTTGAGAAATTGAGGACACTAAGAACTCACCAAGTCTCATCAGAATGATAAGACGCCCATGGCGATCTCGTTCAGGCATCACGATGAACAACTCTTTTGCGTCTGGATTCACACTGGCCGGAGTCAGACCTTTGAAGCTAGATCCTAAAGCAACCCGGCCCTTGTAGTAGTTTTTTATCGTGTTCAAGGCCGCGTCCACATTGTACTTGCGCACTCGGAGGAATCGCAGCAGAAACTCCGGGTCCGTTCTAGCATCGAGGTCCGGTTCATCTGCAAAAACAAATTAGCGACAGAAGTTTGAACACACCTATTTTTCTAGACCCAAGTTAGTTGCATTGCAATAAAATTTCGTACGGAACTCACCCAAGGAATGGTGGAAATTGTCTTAAATCGTATAGCAATTGTCATTTGTTGCGTGTAAAGAGAGCCACATTCTACACAAACATGTGAAACATGCCACATGTGAAGAAAGCCACATTCTACACAAACCCCATTCAGTGGCTTGTGTAGGAATATTTGCTGTTTGTCCTGTGCCCGAAGAGCCCGTTCTGTTCAGCAGGAATCAAGGTGGCGTTCAGATTCGTTTCGAATGCAATTGCAATATTAACCTTGCTTTGTGAAAAAAGAGACTGATGTCCTCTAGCGACACGTCGGTTGTCACTTTGAAGTATCTAGGAGGTTCCATTTTACGTTCTATCTATCAACTTTGGTTACCTGAGTGCTGCCTTTGGACATATCGATACTGCGTGCCTTATAAAGAAAAACATTTCTGACGTTCAAAAGCAGGCTGCGAGTTTGTAGAGTTGTTTCCTAAATTGTGAAAACTGAACACGTGAGATACCAATGCCACTTTGACCTTTATTCGGAGCCATAGGAGCTCTAGCACGTTTCTTGTAGAAGACGAAAGCGATGGCGTGACTTCATCCGAGCTTAGGTGAAAAGTTTTGTTTATTTGCTAGTGCCGTCAGGCTCCTGACAACAAGCAATGTCGACCTCTTCTTCAAAGGCGACGGATGCCTAAACCACTACGAAACTCCCCTGTCCTCCCCGTAGAGAAGTCTCCTGCAGGTCTGCAGGGCTTCGGGGAACGAAGCGATTTCATTGCAGTAGCGATCGCGGCTCAGAGTGATGCGGTTGCCGTTGTACTATGTTGAGAGCAGAACAAAGTGGCGGAGCACGTGGAACGAAGAATCGATACACAAACTTTTTGTTAAGAATATGCTGGCACCCCCGATATAATTTACATAGTGTTACAAAAATATACCTGCTGAGGAGCGCAATATTTTTTTAAAGCAAACATATAAATAATATTATAGGCCCACGTAAAAGGAGGACTAGGTGTTTGGTACAGGATGTCTGTGGAGGCGGCCTAGAAAGCGACCAGCCGAGTCGGAGTCACATTGCAAACTGTTTTAATTCTCGAAGCAGAAAGAGAGAAAAAACAAGAGAAGAAAGCAAGTAAACAAACAAACAGACAGACAGAGCGCGCGCAGCACAGCGCGCGCTCTTGGCGCGTGCTGTTCGGCAGCGGCGCAGGTGTTCGGGGGCCGCTGCCACAGATGGCCAGCAAAGAAGGAACAAACAAAGGAGGGAAGAATTTAGATCGTACCCCGAATTGAACATAACATATTCGGAGACTCCCAGGGTGGACGCCGGATTCTTGCGTTGTTTCGTTCCAAGTGGCGACGTGTTCGAAATTTTTTAGATCGACGCATGTTCGGTGTTTTTACTCGCATGGAAGTAACATAGCGTGGATTTCGTTATTTGAATAGTGAAGGCGTGAGGCACACAGATTATTACTTCTCAGATATTACGTTCTTTAACATAATAGACCCTTGTCCGCTCCACCACCTGTCTGCCATTGCTTAATCACGTACTCTGAGCGTATATTGGACACGAGACCTGCCTCAACGTTCATCGGGAACTCGGCTCAGCCCGTATTAAAAACGGGTGCCGCGTCAGCGTTCGAAGACGGCTGGGGTCCAATCACGCAGTTCGTGCATAAGAAATGGCTACCATCATCGATGTTGCTTGATTTACTTTTGAAAACCGCCTATTGCACGTAAGTGGAGCTAAGGGAGTAAGAAAAGCCTCGAGCAGCGAGTTCACACAGCCGGTAAATGTCTTATTTAGTTTTTTTTTTTATTTATTTATTCAAAATACCTTGCAGGTCGATTTCTGGACATTATACAAAGGTTCGATATTTAGTGGACGTGCAGTATAAAAACGTTTTAAAACGCATACATAAAACGAAGAAGCTCGCGTTCTCTCAGCCATATAATGTTTTTTGCAGAAACGCGGCGCAATTTCTAAATTTTATTACTCTTTTGGGAAGAGCGCCACCAGCAACGAAGAATCGTGTATAGTACAAAAATGTAAAAACGTAGAACACTATTTAGATATGAACATCGCGAGAAATAAAAACTATCGTACACTCAAGTAATCTGGGATAGCAGCTCCAAATGTAGCAGGGTCTGAGACTAAAGTTGTGTTGTCAGGGAGACTATTCCAGTGCGGAACTGCGCGTGGCCCTGAGGAGTTATTGAAAGCAGATGTTTTTCTCAAAAATCCGCTTATAACTTTGGCTTCTAAGCGGTGTGATCTTCGGTTAGAAGGCTGAAGGAGCTGGGCGATGACTCTGCTTTTAGTATAGCTGAATTTGTGAATAATGCATATGAGGGAAGCGATGCGGCGCGTCTCGAGTAGCTGTAGGGGGACTGAGCTTTTAAAGAAGGAGACAATTGTAAGGCGGGAGTAGGATGATGTTATAAACCGTGCAGCACGATTTTTGATGCTTTCAATTTGCTTTATAAGGTATCTTTGGTGGGGATTTTATACGGTAGAAGCAAATTCAAGAATCAGACGAACGTATGTTTCATATGCCAACTTGCGTAGGTGACGAGGGGGGGGGGGGGGGGGCAGAGTAAAGGCTACGTCGTAAATACCCCAGTATTCGGCATGCAGTACTAGTGAAAACATCGGTGTGGTTATTCCAAGATAGATCTCTTAATAGACGAACGCCCAGGTGCTTGTAGGAGGGGGAGGTTGAGAAGACTGAGTTACCTAGAAAATATAAATAAGTTGATAGTGATCGTTTGCGACTGAAAGTTACTAGCTTGCATTTTGAACTGTTTAGGGACATAAGCCACTTGTCGCACCAACCATTAACGGTGTCGGGGTCTTGTTGTGAAATAAGGTGATCCTCGGGATTAGTAAATTGCCTGTAAATAACGCAGCCATCCGCAAAGAGGTGAAGTTCGGAAGTAACTGAGTGAGGTAAGTCGGGGTGATGTATACTAAGAAGAGAAGGGGACCCAGCCCAGTTCCTTGAGGTACGCCAGAGATCACGTCTGACATGTTGGACTGACAGTTCTCGCAAACTGTGTATTGGTGACTTGGTGACGTAATGTTAGGAATAGACCCCTTTCGAAAGTCACGTGCCGATTATTAGAAGGTCAGAACCACTGCAAAATGGAGGAACAACTGACATCGTGGAACGTGCAAGTTATTTCATAAGATCGCGAACGTCGTAGCGCGGCCAACGATAGGAGCCGACGAGTTTATTAAACAGCGTCGGAAGTGCGACGTCATTGCGCTCATCACCTATTTTGTTGGTGAATTCTTGCATTCTAATTCAACCAAACGCGAAAAATGTGTCGTGACATTGCAGTTTAAGACCGCCATTGTGCAGGGATTCCACAACTGACAACAGGGGGCCAGTATTTTGAAAGGGGCCTATTACGTATCCTGGAGAGTGTGAGGGAGTCAATGTGGAGTGAAGAGTGCTTAGCAAGTAGTCGGGCAATAAGGAAAGCGCTAGAATGCTTTAAAAAAATCCAAGAAGATGGCATGGGATGTAGTGCAATTGTTCATGTTGATGTAAATGTCGTCAGTAAACTTTAGTGCGATTCGCACGAGAACTCTTTACGAAAACCATGCTGCTTCACAAAAAAGAAATTATTATTTTCGAAGTGAGCCACTGCGTGGGAAAATATCATGTACCAGTAGCTTGGATACTACGTTTGTCAAAGATAGTGGGTGGTAGTTTGTAACAAGGTTACGATCACAAGTATTGTCAGTTTCAGTGATGTGATTGCTGTGCCATTTGCACCAAACTGTGCCAAAGTGCTTACCCTGCTACACCTTGCAACATTTGACCAAAATGTGAGGAATTTGCGCCAGCATTGCGCCAGAACTTAAGTTCACTTAAATAATACTAAAAATATAACAGCTGCAGGCCTTGCTACCGAGCGGGATCGTTAGGGTAGGCTAGTGCGGGTTGTCAGGACTTTCGATAATTGCCTCAAATAACGTACTATTTGATTTGATTTCGCACCAAGCGCTGACAGTATTCAGAGGTTTCGCAATAAGTCTCGTGGTCTTTTCTGGTGGGTTAGTTAGCTTTGTTGAGTGCGCTTCCCACCGCATACTGGTGTACTGCAGTGAAGCGACAATTTCGCGAACTACGCGTCGCGATGTTGCGTGTCTTGCTGTGCTGCAGCGCATACACGTGCTAAAAGGAAAGGTACTCCTCGAGAGCGAGACGTGGTGCAATATCGTATATATGAACTCTTTTGTAGGTTTATTTTTTATGCTTTGTTTTTGTCTGATTTAGGAATTGCAGTTTTGTTACAACCCCCCCCCCCCCCCCCCCCTCTTAGAACTTGAAGGACACATAAATCTACGCGTTCAAAATGATTCTATTATAACATTTCTTCAGTGGGATTTTATGCCTAAAATAATCACTTACGGAAGTTTGCGCAGCCCTTCATTAGTCGTCTTCTTGTTACCGTGTCTGGTGCTTCCACAAGCAACTAAACAGCTAGTGTTTGTTCTCCTCCTAATATTCGCCATCTCTCCTCCTCACATTTGCAGTGATATAAATGAAAACGAAGTGTGCAGTTATGCTCCAAAAGCTCTTTTTTCATCTCCAAAATGAAGTTTTGGCTGCTCCAATAGCTGCTTCGAAATTACTACGACCAATCACATCACTGCGATTGGTATAACGTTACCAAGTTTTTAATCAGTAGGGATTTGACCTGTGGCTAAGGATTGTTCTAAAAGTAAGTGAAAGATTTGACTACAAATTTCTTTGGTGTCCTTCAACAATTTTGAATCTATGTTATCTCAGCCAGCGCAGGTAGATATTTTAAAATTAACAATTAGCTTTTCTATTCCATGTACAGAGATGGATATAAGTGCCATAAAGGGGTAGTAAACCTCGGCAACTGGTGGAATGTTGTGAGGGTCCTCAATGGTGAAAACCAGTTCATTCAGCATCTTGTATACGTGAACATACATCATTCATTGCGGTAGTCGTATCGTGCTAAGGGTCTCGTTAGTCGACATGAATTGCCAAAACGTCCTGCGATTAAGTTTTAGTAAGGCAAGTCATTGTGAAACAAAAGCTTTTTGTCTGACGGAATAATGTCGCATTCTCTTTACTTGAACTAAGGTAGCGACCAAGCACTTTTTGTGACCAGTCGATTCGCGAACGAGAAGTCTTTTCTTTTTGTTTCGTAGGCTCCGAAGTGGACGATTATTCGAAGGCTGATATTTATCAGACTTAATTTTGACCAGTGGAATAAACCTATTACTAAATCGATTATTTTTGTTTTATACATTCTCCAGTTACCCTCGACAGATCTAATAAAGAAATACTCAGAAAGGGACTCAAAGAATGACCGGAGACCGGCGTTAATTACATTTTAGTTGGCCTTATTGTAGTCCCGGATTTGTTTAGTAATGGGGATGGAGGTATGGGAAAGTGGGGAGCGAGTTATTTTCAATACGCTGTGATCGCTAAAATCAGCTGAGCACGAAAGTGAGGTGATTGTTTGAGGTGCAGAAGTGAACATGAGATCAAGAACGCTCACGCCGTGCGTTGGTTAATCGACTATTTGCGTTAAGTTAAAGCAGAGTTGTCTCAATAAAGTCCTAGCTTTCACGAGCAGGGGAGTCGGAACAAACATTCAAGCGTTGAAAAAAAAAAAGAACTTACAAGTAAATACTGCACTTGGGAAAGCTAAGTTGAATTTCTTCTAGACTATCGTGTGATAGTTTATTAAATAGTGGATCGTAATAAGGAGGTCTCTAGCATACGGCCGGTACTATTTCGGTTCTTATTGAAAATACGGAAACCCACAGAATTTCAAGAGAACTATCGGTTTTGATAATACGTGATGACAAGTTTTCATGTGTAGCTATCAACAGATCTCTACCTCGCCTGTTATCTCTGTCATTGCGATAGATCTGATAGTCCGTGCTGCCAGCCAGCCCCTCGTTATAAGAAATGTCCCGTCGTAGCTACGTTTCGGTCAAAATCAAGATATCAGGCTGATGTCATCTAAAAAAGCCAGCAGTTCATCACGGTGAGCAATGCCACTTCGGATGTTCGTGAATGACAACAAGAAGGAAGGGCACGGTTTGGATGTTTTAAAATAAGGCTGTTTTGCTGAGCGTGATTCCTCAGTTGATATGATCTGTCTGCCGTCTGCGTCACGTGCTACAGTTTTCTGTGTTTGCTATCGGGTGGTACTTATAACAATTCGGGAAACAGAGTCGTACGCCTAGGGAGCGTTTCAATAATAAGCTTGTCAAAGCGAAGCGGAAACGGCTTCGCTTTGATAATGTCATGTGACAGCGTAACGTCACGTGAGAACCTAACATCATCCACGCCGTTTCGTCACATGACACCGTGGCGTCACTTGTTACTGACTGTTTGTTTAAAATGTTTTTTTTTCAGTCTCATATAAATTAATCATCCTGTATGTGGGTCACAGAGCGCAAAGAGTACCATACTAAGCTATTAGAAATACCTCATTTTCTCCGAGCGTCCTGTTCAGGCTTAGTTTGATTTAGCGCTTTTAGAAACAAACTGCCCCAATTAATTTTTTTTTCTACATCGTTTTCGCTTTGTTTTAACCGGCATACTAATTTTCTAGGGGGTATTTTTTTGTTTCGTTGTGATGTATGGTTCTTTAGATATGCGCCGTCAAATGTTTGTTTCAGGCGTCTCTGCTTAAATAGAAATGGCGGCTTGGGGCGGTAGCAACCCGGTAACTCTGGTATTGCCGACTTTGGCGAGATTCCTTTCGGGTTGGCAGAGTCGCACAAGTTACATAAGACCACTTGATGGTTCTGCTAGCTAAATAAAGAAGTCGTGCTCGGGAACACTCAAAGAGGAGTTCAAGTCGTCAGCTGAGAAAGCAAGGGAAAGCACGAGCTGCATCGAAATGATGTAGCTTTGCCTATTGTGGTTTCAGTAGCATCTTCTTGACTGCTGAGGTCCCTCTAATTGGCTGATGGTGGAAAATAGTATTTGCGTGTTAATTTTATGTCTAGGGTTTGTGATACTAACGGTGAGCTTGTCACAAGCTTCAATTTATTGTTTATTGCGACACCTTGTGTCATCTGATTCCATTCATATAAAAAAAAAAAACAGAGGCCATTCATTTTATGAGAGTTCTTTCGGTCCCCCTCCCAGCAGCTCAATCACATCGATTCTCGGAGCGTTCTTTCTACAAACACATGCAGCCCTTGAAGCCTTCGCGGGTACTGCTGTGGTAATTTACTACCGCGCTATATTCGTTTCCGTTTTAAACGCTGACTATAAAAAGCTAAATATGGCATTAAGGTACACATATTTTTACCTTCGCAGTTTTGTCTCAGTTCTAGAACTAATTGGTTTTTATGACTGATTTCTGATGTTTTAAGGCTATCCTTCCAGAAGCGCTTACATAACTTTGGCTTCCACGAACCTGCTTTCTTCACACTTTTTGTGTTGGTGTAGCGTATAAGAGTAATTGACTGATTCATTCATATAAAATGGAATTCCCGAGAGACGATAGAAAGAAAAAAAAAGCTGTGTAATTTGTTGCAGGTATAGAACTCTACAAAATTCTACTCCCAAGAAATCTACTGCAATTGATATTTTGTGTTTTTAAGGCTACCATTTAAACGCTCGAGAGTTCCCGACATTGATTCCATTCAGGATTGATGTTATAAAATATCGCAAGGCGTGCACAGTTCTGGAGTTCACTGTACTGGCAAAACATAATTGTCAAAGCTTGCGCTGCAGTAGACTCTTTTGACATTGCACAAACACCAGGGCGTTTTCCTCCGTTTAAACACGGCAGGCTGGACGTCAATCGAGCTGTGGTTTATAGTCACGTACTGACAGCGCAGACATCGCTGCAAGATTTATGGCCTACAGTTAATTTATTAGCGACGTTGCGGGCTTTCAGAAGAACAAGGAAAAATCAGCAGAATTACGTTGTGTTCATCTTGGTATCCAAAGATAAGTGGTGAATGATTCTTTGTGCCTTTCGCACGATATCCCACGTTGACATCGATTATTTAGTGTAAGTATAACTTTCCGTAAGGAGCAGTGTTGTGCTAGTTACCAAAAGTAGGAAAAAATGACGTTATTCGTTAGTTTGTATAAAAAAATTGACGCGTTACTAAGATGTGTTACTGTTCTGCAAGTTTAACAAAATGTAGCTACGGGGAATTCCAAAGAGTTAACAAAGGTTTCGTCTGCGTTCTTTGCGAGTTCAGAGTTCTTTGTCATCGAAAAGCCGCGGATACAGTTTTCGACAACTAGACTTTTAGACTTTGTTTTATAGAGTTTAATTATGTGCATTAGCGTTTTAGAATATAATATTGTTAAAAATATATTTGAGTCAGCTTTTTTTATTTTTTCCGAATCATCTAGTGACCTTTATGTGGGACCCCAGGGCTAAGCAATAAAGGTTACGTTTTAATCAAACACACGAGTCGACGAAGACTCTTGTCTAATCTGAATGACGACAGTGAGAATGGCATGCGATGGTAGAGAATGGATACAACCACGATGCCGCCAGACTTGCAAGACATAAAACCTGCAATCGTGCTTTGGAAAATGAACGTAAACGTTCTGCGTGGAAAAATAAAATACGTCTCGGTAAAACATGAATTTTTTTTCCTGGCTGTGAGAGTGCTGCGGTTTTAAACTGCGCAACTTGCTGTATAATTAAAGACTAAATTTGTGGGATAATTACCAAATTTTTTGTTTCCGTCGCACAACATCGTTATATTTCCGCTAGTTTTTTTTTTGCACCTTTTTTTGTTGCCAGCTCTGGCAGCTTGTGACTGTAGTTGGTTGTGCGTGTGAGTTTCTGGCGTTTCTGGCAGGAATTTGACGAAGAAGCCACGGCATTCTCAAGTCCAATTAACTTTTTTTTTACAGTATGTGCTGCTATAGTCAAAGTTTAGTGCTGCAAAACTGAAGAAAGTTTCTTTAATACATATATAAACATTCACCATCCGCTCAACGTTCCGAGCCCTCTCTTTTATGGTACATGGATGTTTTAGGAAATCTACAACAAGATGAACATAACTTCATAAAGCATAGTGGCTTGCTTTGGCGTTAGCCATAGACTAGAAAAAAACGCAGCATGTTAAACCAGCGCGCAATTTCTATATAGCAAGCAATTTTATTTAAAAGCATGGTCTCACGGACCTTTGAAAATGGCACTTCTAAGGACAGCCTTTGAAGAACCGGCGAACTTGGGCACGCAGAGTGGCATGGGCGGTGTCGGAGTAGGAGCTTATTCATAAAGCGCCTTCGATATTTGGCAATGAACCGGGTGCAAGGGTATATTATACTGCTCGTACGAGTACTTCTCCGCAGAACACTCGAAGAGCCCATCACTTCAATCTCGCGTTATAGGCCCATTTAAACAGTACCATTTGGCAATGTTTGTCTGCGTTGCTAGACTCATATAGAGATGCGACTGCGAGTTAGAAACTCGTAGTCGCATATCGACGAACACACCACAACGTAGTGAAAGTTGTCAAACACGAAATTCTGAGCGGGCCCTTATACCTAAACAAGCGTTTTCGATTTCGCATGAACTTCTCGTGAGCGTCTCTAACGTCATGCCTTGTGTCACGTCAAAACATTTACATCTGAGTGAGAGGTTTTCTCGACCTCGTCACTTGACAAGCTCCCTCAGTCGAATGCAGCTCCTTGCTCTAATCTGTAGATTGTAAACAAAAAAAAAAAAAGCACAACTTACTTTGAAGGAGTTGGGTGAGCTTCTCAAGCGCCTCCTCTCTGCCACTGTCTGTTTCCCCCAATTCTTCTTCTGCTATCCGCCGAAGCTCGGTGGGCAGGTCCCCGTGTCTTGTCCCGCAGGAAAAAGGTCCCTGCTTAGCATCTGCAGTCGATGACATGCTTGACTGCGAAAACACAAAACAAAAATCATTGGAAGGTCCCGATATGTCAAGTGCACGGCCACCCAAATGAAGGAGCTAGTAATATTAATAAATTAAGCGCAACTCAAGAAGGAAGTGAAGGGGCGCGATCCTTCTCGCTTCGCCGAGCGCCAAACCGGTCGTGAAGGCTGCAGAAAACGATTTCATATTTCCGCGGTGTGTTCGTCCTTGAAACCAGCGTATTGCGGATATAAAGTGGACAGGTTTGCGTTGTGTACAAAAAAGAAGGGGGGGAAAGTGGCGCCTTGTAGCAAATGCCTTTATTATATCTCGGAACGCAGGGGCTCAGTATTTTGCGTGTCTTAAGCCGACTGAGCCCGCCTCAATCGACAGTCAGCCAAATAGGGAGCTGCGTAGCAAAATTACTTATGCTTCTTCGATTTCTGGCTACTCTGAGGACTTTGCATGCCCTCAGGAGTATCTCGAGCAGCAAGCTATAAGGAACAGCCGTCTGGAGCACGATTATAATACTGTTTGTTTATGAAGACGGCAGCACGACGGAGAAACGCCTAACTTGGCCCAAGTTTGTCAATGCCAGGGGCCTAATTTGGGCCAAATAGGAGTTTGCTTCGCTTCAAGGCTTTAGCTAGTGCCAAATTACTTTTCATTGGCTTTTTTATGGGTTTCCTTTGGTTCGCCACGTAATTGCCAGGGTGCTAGATATAAGCCAGAAATGCCACGTGTCACACAAACAACGCCTTGTGAAGCCAAATTCTGGCACTTGATGGGGCGATTTAGGCACAGCGTTTCCAGGTGAAAACAGAAAGACCAGGAACGAAGCCTAATTCTTCGATTTCCGCCGGAACTGAGTCGCTAAAAAGTGATCACACACGAAAACCCAGGAAATGGCACCCAGCTCAGGGAGTTGTTTGGCGATTTGGCAGACCCTATCCAAGGAATTCCAAGTTAGATTAGGTTAGATTACATTAGGTTAGGTTAGGGGAAGTTTGGTGGCTTCTCGTGGCGACATGACACCGCTAGAGATAAAGCCGGGGGGTTTCAGGTTTAAAGAAACACGGCCCGGACGATGACCAAAAACAAAACAAAACGATATAAAAAAAAAAAAAAAAACGTTATTGAATGGAAAGGACACATTTGGGGGCGTTGCCATCGACTGCGGTTTCATTTGGGATTTTTTCGTTGGGCTGGCTTGAGTCGGTATGTCGCTCCTCTTTTTTTATACCTCCAAGGGTTATACCTTTACCTTTTGGGGGCTTTCAGGGCCAAAAACTGCCAAACAAAAAGAAATTTTACCCAAAAGCCTGTGCTACCTGGCGGTAGAACTTTGCCGTAAGTAACTGCTTCGCCGTAAGGAAGTGCTTTGGTCATGAGTAAATATTAATCCAGTAATAATAATATTAATAATATTAAAAAAAACACGAACTTAGCCGCTTGCTTGCCAGAACACTTGCGGTTAGCAACCAGAAATGACTGTTGAGCGCCAGTAGTGGTTGCTGGGAGTGTTACATGAGCTAGATAACTAAGAACGGTACAAAACGGGTGAGCTTTTGTCCAGTGAGCTTCTGTCCGGTGAGCTTTTGTCCGGTTACCGATACCTGAGGCGAGTGTACTGATCTAAAGAAAAAGACATTTTTTCGACTAGGCGTTATAGGAACTATAAATACACATGACGGACAAAAGTGATGTTTGCAACAACTATATCGTTCACCTTCCTCGCGTTGTAAACTTGTTCTGCAAGTAGAGCACGACAACACGCACACGAACAGCACAAAAACATGCGATGACAGGTAACATAATTATAAACCTGCTTGATCGATAAATATTTTTTTTCTTCAGAGAAGCGGAAGTAACAAGGTAGCTTTCTTAAAGGCTTGGGCTACGGTTATAAACTAAAGTGTGTTGCGAAAATTCATCTTACAAGCACTAATGTAAATACGGCAATAGGAATTACCACTACTGAATTCAATTGGAAACAAATGGCTCATGAGTCTGGAAGCTGTAGTGGTTTGAGGATATGTCCAAGAAGTGAATAATGATAACGGATATCACTACATTTCTATTCTGTCAGTGTGTCTACGTATGGTGATTATATTTTAGTTCTTACATGTGCAGGTCAGTTTGTGAAAATAGAGACTAATCTCTGTGTTGGCTCTACAGGACTAACCTGAAGTATGCTCAGAAGAGTTTTCTGATTTTTTCTAGCAGTTACTAAACGGCAGGCTTTGAAAGGCCATGTGGGGTTAGCTGCAGTCCCAAAAATCAGAACGTTTTGTGTCACTCTAAAGTGATAACACTAGAACGCTATAGTTCGAACTTTTTTCCTCACACGTTCAACTTCTGATCACTTGGCTATTATTATCTTTGGTTCTTCTTCTCGCCAAGCAATTTTAAAAGCGCTCAGATCAAGAATAGCTTAACTAACCATAAATATGTATAACCTGTAACTCACAAACGAGAAAAAAACAAAGACACGTGCACAACAGACAAGCATTACGAAAAGGAGGCGACAAGACAAGCGATTGTCCTGCCGTCTTTTTCTACTAGTCATTGTCGTTGTTTTTCTGTTTCGTTTGTTGTTGTTACATGTAAACAACTATCCCGCCAGCTGATTTTAATTCAGAAACGCGTTAAGTTGAGAGCAAAGTTGAATGTATGATTTATAGAAAACCGAAGTTAAAACAAGTGACATTCACCGTGAGCAACGCCACGACGACAACAGAAAATCTATACAACTATAGCTAAATCCACCTGGAGAACTGATGCAAACTGCAAACCTACAAACTTTTCGAACTTTCTTCTGGGTTTGATACCTACTTGCTAACCAGCTGGAGTGTTCACACATAGTTTTTTAATTAAATTAAATTATTTGGTATGAGATGCGCAGCATTCAGTTTCTACTCAATACTTCTGCACACAATTAAAGTTTGCGTTGGTGACTAAATGGTGCTCATAAATATTATACTTAACGCAGACGCCAGAAAATGGGCGACGTAAAACAGCATCTATAAGCCAGCCTTTATACTTCAGTGGCAGTTAAGTTCAGTCACATCATCACCTAAGAAGGAACTGTTTTCGTTTGCGGAAGGGCGGCCTTCGATGGGGTACACCTTGACCTGAAAAGCCTGCGGCCGCGCTGGCTTCCACGATCGCCTCGAGAAAACTCTCTTCTTATTTACCTGTTTCTTCCTAAGCATTTGTGCTCAATTCATTGAAGCGTTGCTCAGTCAGACCACTCACCGTCGATCCAGTTAACGGGGTTTCACTCGCATTCCTTAGCACTCGTAGACGAGGAACGTGTAAATATTGCGACAGGAAGGAAGACAAAACATACGTTGCAACCTCTTAGGCGGAAATGGGACTCACGTCGCTCCAGTTATTTTCTCTCGTGCAAATGTTTTCAATGCGGCTAGTATGCAATGGAGTCGCCAGATGGCGAAGCGACCGCGTTGGGGAAGTTTGGAATTGGCAAGTGCACGCTTATACACAACAACCAGTGACAAACAAACAGAACAAATAAAGGGACAACAAGGAAGCGGGCGTCACAGGAACGTTGAACGAAGGCCGACGTCGCCACGTGCTGGAATTCTGGCGCTAGGCCAAAATGCTGGAAAGGCGAACTGAAGTACTCCTCTTTCCAATTCTACCTCGGTCGGAGCTGTGTCGAAAACACTCGTTGCAATATCTCTCGAAAACGGAGCACAACATGAGTGATAGTCAGTAATTCATTGTGTTTCACGCATAACTGTTCCACTTTTAGGCTCTGTTCAGATAAGATCATGCACGCTAAAAGCTAACAAAAACTAAAGATACGGCGGGACGCCGAATCTTTAGTTTTTGTTAGTTTTTTCTTTATGTTACTCCTCAATATGGGCAGGGAACATAATAGAAAATATTTACTTAAAACAAAATTTAAAGAAAAAAATCAATACGCCAGAACGGCATATTTGATTCTTGAAGGTTTTGTTTATGTCATGTTTAATGACAACTGCTACGCAAACTACAAATATCAGAAATCTAAAATAGTTTGCACTCTAATAGATCATAAGAAGCATCGAGTTATTTATGTGCAGCATTGTGGAAGTCGCATATTACGCGTCAAAATATGCACGAACATGGCTCCTTTTGTCGTTTTGTCACTAATTTCTGAGCTGTTATCTACAAACATTGAATAGCTATAACATTCAAATTTGTGTCACATACTGTTATTCAAACGTTCTTTGGAATGATTATAAATCATTGTTTATATATTAACGATAGAGATTTTTATGTCGCCTCAAACTTGTTCTAAATTACAAAGTTAAAACATTTCAAGGGGGAGCTGAAAACAAATCAATCTGGGATATTACTGAAATTTATAGTGATAGTTCACCACCGTACTCTTGTGTTTATTCATGAAAAATATGTTGCATCATTTTGTTTGCTTCAAAGTTACAGCGCTGTACATTGTACCTTCCACGCCGGCATTTTCGCACAATGCCACGGGCAAGATTATCTTTTGATTCCATGTATTGAATGACTAGATATCTTCTTTTTTTTTGCGCTGTATACGGATATTGGGCACAGGTTCAAGTATTCTACTAATTAAAATAATACCGGCGTTGCTTGTCCTTTTTTATTAAAAGTAACTAATAATCTTGTTTGGCCTTTAAGATGACAAGTTCTCTGAGCCTTAGCTAAACTTTTTTGACAAAAGCGGGACGAAAACTTGTAATCCCTACTTCTGAATTTTTTTACAGAAAGTATTAGAAAAGTACGTACAGTGGTGCAAAATATGTGCGAATATTTATTCCAATGTTCCCAATAAAGACGAAATGTTTGAGCCACCAAACTGTTTACAGTACTATTCATGACGGTTGTACGCCCAACTTATCTAGATAAACCTGCGACTTCACCGGAACTTTCGGCAAGACGTCCGTTAAGATTAAAAAAATTTGTAAATACTTATCTACTAAAATAATTAAAAAAGAACATCAAATGAATGAAGCAAAAGAAAAAAT